TGATTTAATTCTATGAAATACTAATGTATGTTAAACTAAGATTTTGGAAATTCTTAGTACACACATTTACTTAACTTCAAAATTTTAGTAGTTATCTTAAAGCTAATGGAGTCGAGTCAAGTTTCGAAATTATGTAATGTACTTGTGTAATAACCGTTCGACGTTCATTTATTCACGTCGGGTGCTATAGCTCTGTGAAGGAATCAGCTGCGGCTTCTACATTACGTAGCCGCGAAATTGTCATAGAAAATTATTTCCCAACACCAATAGTCCACCGTCGTACATTTGACGTCGCGTGAAAGCTGAATCACTAGCTTCCTTCCAATGTCACACTGCATATAATCTTGTTTTTAAACATTAGTTTCACAGAACGATCGAGCATACTGCTTCTATTTCAATTTGTGTTCTTTTGTTTTATTTTTTATTCATAGCTGTTTGTATTTTTGTAACAGAAGAAAAGTCAGTGAGCAGAAATTGTCACAGACACATTTACTGCACTAACTAAGGAACAGGTCTATGCTTAATCATTTTTGTCGGAGACAAACCGTTCAGGAACCGGTAGCTTGAATGTTCAGGAATATTAATAGCCAGCGGCGAGGGTGGAACTCGATGGAAGAAAAGTTTAATCGAATTTTAAAGTGGAGGAGGAATTCAGAAGTTGCTGGGAATCTTAAGCAGTCGGGCAACTTCCAGGTGCGCAACATATTTTTGTACTCTGAATTCCCATGCACCAGTCCCTTCCCGAGTGTCTAATGGACGCGAAATCCGACTGTACGCTGACTTAATCTCCTTACGATTTGTCCAGCTCGTTAAAAAATTCTTTTTCGTATGTTTTTATTCCAAGGCAAAAGTTAATATCCTTGAAAATGAACATTGAAATTCGGTTCCATTCGTCCCACGAATCTGTCTAATTGGGTATTAGTAGACACTGTGTTCTAAAATCTGACAATGCACTGACTTAACCCACTTTCCACTCTTAGAAATATTTTTGTGAAAATGCATTTATTCGAAAGATTAATATCCTTGAATATCGAAAATCGTTTCCATTTACTTTTTCATTCATAACTCCCACTAATTTATTTTATCTATTAACCATGGTACATGAATCAGCTACGTGAATAATTAGATTGATATAAACTGTTTCCCTATATAAAAATCACGAGTACAGATAATATTATTAAAATTAAATAAGTAACCCTAAAACTGAAAATTATTTGTATAAGCAACAATAATTGTTTTGTTGAAACAGAATAATATTGTGATTTGAATAAAATCAATGGTATAACATTTAAAATAGAAACATACATTAGATATTAAAATAGGATCATGGAATCAAGTAACAATATTAGTCTGTCTGATTGCCTAATCGACATTGTATTCTACTCGGCTGACCGCACGCTGACATGATCCACTTAATTTTCCGTTCCCCATAAAGTGTACTCTCCCGGAAACGTCTTCTTAGGTAGCAAAGGTTAATATCCGTGAAAGCGAGCATCGAGGACGGTTCTATCTATTTTTAGCGGTCCTTTGTCACCAGAATGGTCGCAGGATTACACTCGTGGAAACATTAGAGGTTCTCCCGCGCTGCGCGACGGCCAGTAACTCGACCCGAATTGAAGAACTCCGCTGCGTCTGGAAGTTAGTGAAACTCGAGTGGAAAAGTTTGCCCCGGTAAACGAGAGGGTGAGAACACATCGCGACCCCGTCACAGTTTCTGCTATTATTATGGAGAATCACACAGCGGCTGGACCCCGGGGTCAACTCTCCGAAAGGAAACGGAAGGCTTTCCAAGGCCTGATAAAAGCGACCCTCGTCAATTTCTGCCATCCGTCATAAAAAAATGTTCTAACATACTTATCCCCCTATTATACTGTGTAACTTCGAAGTTGTACAACAATGTAAGAATTCTTCCAGTCACGTTTTACTCTTCTTGTCATTTGAATACTAAATCATTAATCATAGATAAATTTACCTTTGACCTATCTCGCTTTGATTAAAATTTTTTCATTCACTTCTAATTTAAATTTAAGTTTATTATTAGTTCAAATTAAATCAGTTAACTTTGCTATATTTATTTACTCTCTTTCAGTATACTTTCTATTAAATTTTTATTATTTATTTTATTATTCAATTTATATTTGTTTCATTTATTGTTAGTATCTTAAGGATGTGGCTATACAGTCAATCCCAAAAGTTTATGTACCTTAGAAAAACGCATTTCCTGTAATTAAAAATAGTACACTTTTCATCTAATTTCGATATTTAATGAGTTAACAGAATTGAGTCCGTACACTTATTCCGAATTCATAATCTTATAGTGCAGTGAATGTCCCAATTTCACTGGCTTAAGATTACAGATGAACTTAAAGAAAAAAGCCAGTAAGTAGAAATTGTGAAATTTACTATATTTCAAATTCATATTGACAATTAACATTGACAGAAATTAAAGGGAGTGTAAAATGTCCGGAGTAATAACTTGATACTGTGAAATCCGAGGTCAACGGCGATGAGGAGCCGAGACAATTGACCCGTGAACCGCGGGGTCCCGCTATCTTTTGTGCGCGTAATAGTGGCGGCCAATGAATGTAAAATGAAGTTCTTGTTTAGGTTCGCGATGAGGAATATTAATGGGATCCGTTGCGGGCGAAAACTCCATCGGGGTGGAAAAACAGCGCCGCGATAACAACAACTGAATCCCCGAGATACGATTAAACGGAGGGGAATTTAAAGCAATTATTCCACGCGGGAAAACCACTCGGCCGGGGTTTTATGAAAGCACTCTCACGGGCAACGCAACGCTCGTCCGGCCTATACTATTAGGTCGACGCGTAGGAAACATCGTTCCCTTTCTGAAATTTTCAATTTCCCAGATGAAAATCATTTGCCATCTTCCTCTTATCAATTACTTCCGATTAAATTGAAGAAACAATTTGCCGCGCGGTGAATGTTAATAGGATTTATAAAATACATCCTTAAATGTGTCACGCATCTTTTTATTTTTATTTGTATGTCCTAAAGGACTTATAATAATAATGTGTATTTATATGGATATCAAATTATAGTGTATTTTCGATTTGAATATTTTACGATAGAGTCTGAACCGATCTAATTATTTCGTATTGGATAAAGACCGGGTTCTAACAGGTTCTCGATACCCAGCGATTGTTCTCAGCCTTTTTACCTCAATTTCGAGCATCGTTGGTGCGCCGAGATTTCGATTGGTTCTCCTTCCGTGGGGATCGATCGCCAAGATCATCTCCCATTCGAGAAGAAAGCTTTCCTGGAGAGGGAAGGGCGACCCGGAAACGAAATTCGCTGGGACAACTGTCACGTGGAGAACGGAATACCTCTGCTCGATTCCAAGTTTATTTCCCTTGGAGAACTTCGTTTCTCCTAGCCCTACCCACCCTTCCTTCCTACCTTTTTACGGCGGGTGCCAGTGACAGGGAACCGTTTCAAGTCCCTCGGCTTTTCCATAAAGCTTTCACGTCTCCGTGGCAGATGCTTCTTTTACACTTTAATCCTTAGACTGGCCAGTGGAAATAGTCTCTTACGATAGAAGAATTAAAAATGACGAGACCAAAATGAATTGAAAATAAAAATTTTATCAATGTGTAAAATTAAATATAGAGAAATATTTATATTATATTATCTGCAGATCTTTTTTTATAAATGCATAAAATGCTCAATCGTGATAAGTGAGACACTCATCCTCAGTGCTTTACTTTTTAACTTGGAACTCCTCACACCTCGTTACATTGATGAAGATGTAAATGACGAGACGCGGATACCGGATTAATCGATTTGATACGTTCGGCGAAACGTTGTCAGCCGTCGCAGTTATTGTGATGTTTTATGAAGACACCGGAACAGGTAGGAGTGGGTGATTTATCGTGCAGATACTGTAACGCCAGCGGTACAATAATGCCTGTGTAACAGGCTGTCCGACGGGCGACGTGACGTTGATATGAATAGTTTATAATTCGGTCATCGAGGTTGGCCGGCGCTCATTCCTGAACTGGTTCACGTTCGCTGCGTTTATTTCGCGTCCACTCTATCCACGTTAATTTCGACTCGCAGTTCTACCGCACACGTAACGCAAACAATGGTCAGCACTTTCCACTCACCGTCCCAAAGTCTTTTTATTCTACTGGCAATATTGTTTGTCGACATTAACTGATAGCAATTGATAAAAAGAATAAAAGTTAAGACTATCCTGGAATGAATTTACAAACACTCGCATTCTAGATTTACCGTTCTCATGTCAGCACAAATAAAATAATACTTAGTACGCGTAGACTATAATATTGTCCGGAAATTATTTATGGAAAGTTTAAAGGCAGCTCATTTAAATTCTGTTAATTTATTGATTTATTGAATTATATGCTATTTGATTCCGTACTCTTTCTCTATTTTTCAAGGAACTTTAATGACTAAAATAATGGAAAATATGTCATTCGATTACATCTAACAGAATTGAGTCCGTACACTTATTCCGAATTCATAATCTTATAGTGCAGTGAATGTCCCAATTTCACTGGCTTAAGATTACAGATGAACTTAAAGAAAAAAGCCAGTAAGTAGAAATTGTGAAATTTACTATATTTCAAATTCATATTGACAATTAACATTGACAGAAATTAAAGGGAGTGTAAAATGTCCGGAGTAATAACTTGATACTGTGAAATCCGAGGTCAACGGCGATGAGGAGCCGAGACAATTGACCCGTGAACCGCGGGGTCCCGCTATCTTTTGTGCGCGTAATAGTGGCGGCCAATGAATGTAAAATGAAGTTCTTGTTTAGGTTCGCGATGAGGAATATTAATGGGATCCGTTGCGGGCGAAAACTCCATCGGGGTGGAAAAACAGCGCCGCGATAACAACAACTGAATCCCCGAGATACGATTAAACGGAGGGGAATTTAAAGCAATTATTCCACGCGGGAAAACCACTCGGCCGGGGTTTTATGAAAGCACTCTCACGGGCAACGCAACGCTCGTCCGGCCTATACTATTAGGTCGACGCGTAGGAAACATCGTTCCCTTTCTGAAATTTTCAATTTCCCAGATGAAAATCATTTGCCATCTTCCTCTTATCAATTACTTCCGATTAAATTGAAGAAACAATTTGCCGCGCGGTGAATGTTAATAGGATTTATAATAAGGATTTTAATAAAAAATATTGGAACATTATAATCAGCACGATAATTTATATATCGGTCGATTTTTCTGTCTGGTATCTGCTATTACTAGAAAGTATCATATTATTTAATGTATTCTTTAAATAATTAAAAAATATATAACAAGGTGAAACAAGATAGATGGGCTTTACATAATAATGCACATAAATCCACACTTACACATTCAACAGAATTTTAGAATGGTTCCAAGATAATTTTCACCACATTCGCTTTGTTTAACTATAATTCCGTGATACTGCATCGAAACAATTACCGCAAAATTATAGTCTCGGAACTGCATGCAGACAATTGTTGCCGTAGTAAACATTAAAGGAACGGTGCGGTTAAAACTTAGACAGAGGCACTAGTTTGTTACAAAACCATGTAACTAGTAACTTCACTGAGAGTAACAGATTGCTATTTCCTTTACAGAATTTCATTACTATAAGAGTAATCAAATGCTATTTGCTCACAGTATGATAAAGAAGTTCGAAAAGTTTTTTGAACATCCACTGACAGCTGAATTATGTGACGAAGCATAAGTAGATGGGACACGTGAAGAATGAAGAATATCCGGGCTATTCCACGTCAGAGCACGCCCGTAGATATCGAGATTAATTTCACGGATCGTAAATGCGACGGCGCGCGTCGTCTCTTTCATAAAACAGCGAACGCTGGGATCAAGATGAAGCGAGGCGGAACGTAGCGAGGAGCACAGGCAGAGCGGGAGCTCAGGGAATGCGATTGTTGGTAATTGCATGAGTTAAGTCAAATTCAACGGCCGTTGAACGTTTCCATAAATTCCGCCCTGCGAATCGCTCCGTCTCTCGCGGTGGTTCGTCTCTAACTACATATAGCTACGCGTTAAACGATCCTCTGTTAACTGCTATGAGTATGATAATTACTCGCGAGATTCCCAAAAGTACTTTCAAATATTAGATAGTATAATATTAACCCTTGCATTGATACGAAATGCTGCGAGGAGGAATATTAATAAATATTCAAACAAGGACTAGACAAACGAGAGGGCCTATCGACCAATATACACCCTCGAAATGTATTAGTACATTTAGGAACCTAAACAGATCATAAATTCTGATTAATAAATGAATGGAAACTGGCACTTGTATTTTACAACACTTGACCAAATGATAGACGTTGTTGCTTATCGCATCTGTGCAAGTAATTAATCTTTACTTATGAACACTATTAGATTACTACTGTGTATGTATAAGCTTAGCTTACAACGCAAATAATTTATTACGGTATTAGATGAACAGCATAGGGGAGACTTGTGAAACGCAAATCCCACTCAATAATTAACGTTGAGTACTCATTATTTATACTGATACTATATTACCCATTGACATCCTGTACATGCATACAGTGCAGAGTACTCGTGATTAGACAGCAGGATTTATGCATTTATAAATAAATCGTATTGACACTGAATACAAACAATGTTTGCTATGAAAAATATACAAGGTATTAAAAATTTACTCATGATCATATTCAATACAGTTTATGATTAGTACATTGTTAATCTTTATGAGAAAACAAAAAAATTTGATTGAATATTTGTTCCATTTCCTGATCAACCCTGTTTCTATTTGCAGTTTTTTTACTTGATGCAAGATTTCTATATTGAATAAAAATCTGCAGTTCAGATATCAATAAATTGAAGAAGCAAGAAATGGTCATCTTGATTTTCACTGCGATTGAGTTACATACTCCTTCAGGGCAAGAAACAGCTGGGAATAACTTAAAAAAAAGCAAAGAGAAAAATATCGCGCTGTGATCTCTGT